TTGTTACGTGAGAGAAGACTCCGCTGGTATGGCCATGTTCAGCGCTCCACCGGTGCCATCAAGACAGTGGGTGAAGTTCGAGTTGTTGGTGTAAGGAGACGTGGGAGGCCGAAGATGTCTTGGAAGGAGGTTGTGAAGAAGGATAGGGAACAGTGGAATCTCTCCGCTGTAGACCCCTTGGATCGTGTCACATGGAGAACAAGCGTGAGAGCTGCCAAAACTGGACCGAGCCAGATTCCTGGAGTGGGTTTCCACTGATGTGGAATTAAACCCTTGGAGTCCAGTATAAAATAAAGAAACCGAAAACAACACACAACAACAACAATCACCTTTAGAAATATTATTAAAAAATGTTTTAAAACTAACGACTACAATTTGATTACAACGACGGTGGCGCCACTCAAAGCGCACGATCTGATGAGTTGCGCAAAACCACTTTTCAGCCAAGGGCTACAGACTGAGGGTGTTTCTTATTTATTAATTTAAAAGCAAAAGAATTGTAATATCTTATAAACGACATATAGTTTCAGTTATAATATGGATAAATTTGCCCTAAAATGAATATCGTTTGGTTAAATAGCATTTTAGGTATAAATATAATTGCACTTTTGTGAATAGCCCTTGGTCTGTAACGTGCAAAATAAATTGTCAAATACGCAACTTTTTCGGGGTGGCAGCACGGTCGCAGGTGTCATGGCGCCATTAAAATTTCGTAGCATTATAACAATTAAATGAGGTATCTGGTAACAAATACGTGTGGGTATAGACGATTTGTTATACAGTAAGTACAGTTGTATGCAGTAAAATCCTAAAGTCTACTATCCCTTTAACTGGGTATAACAGTAAAAAATCCATGTCGAAAACCATGTTGTCATTGTTGATGATGGGACAGAATATCATGCCTATCGAAATGGCTCATAATGCATCTAGATTATTAATGTATTAGATAACGTATATATATATAGCTATATAGGCATCAGTATGCGCTATACCGCGCGCAGATATTTGCTAATGAATTCAACTATTCACGCTTCAATAAACTCAAGACTCACAGGGTTCATAGGTAAGACATGTGTCTACACGTATCTAGATTTCTAGAAATGTAACTCAACTCGTTCTTGAGATATAAGTCAATACACTTTCCTACCGCCCACAGCGCAATAGCGTATGCGGGGGGGAGGGGTTAACAGCTGTATAGAATGCGCCGGTATACACAGTAGAAGCGGGGCGCGGTAGAGGGTTCGGAGTCGGATGCCGCCATATTGGCTGGTAGGAAAGTGTATTTACGCTAAATAGACTTACAATATGCTCAAATGCCTTAGAGCAAACAGAATTAAGTCAAAGATAATTGGGCGAGAATTTTAAGCATGGGAAGATCCACCACCTTTATAAAATAAACTAGGGTAATGAGAACATTTTTCCTACCGGATTCGAAAGGAAGAGCACCTATACTATACTATACTAGTATACTGACTATTACTGTATCTATAATGTGCCTGTGAGTCAGGTATAAATATAATTGTACTTTTGTGATTAGCCCTCGGTCTCCAACGTGTAAAATACTTTTTCAGGGTGCCAGCACAACTGCGCGGTGTCAATGTCATGTCAGCAGTCAAAATAAAAGATTTCGAAATTCACTGTTGTTTTATGACAAACATGAATGCGTAATTATATATATTTTTATGGATGTGCTTTATTTATGCACTTAGTGACTTACTATCACTAGTGCTGATAGGGTCTTTGTCTCCCTGGGTACTGCCGGAACGTACCCTGGGTACGGTCCGGTATACCGGAACGTACCCTGGTAACTATCTGATATGGTTAGGGTTAGGGTTAGGGAGTAGGTGTAGGCGACTCCCTAGACTCGTTAGTGGAGTAGGCGAGGTACGATCCGGCATATTAGATAGTACCAGGGTACGTGCCGGTATACCGGACCGTAACCAGGGTATGTTACGGTATATCGGACCGTACCCAGGGTATGTTCCGGCAGTACCGCTGAAGGGGTCGTTGTCGTATCAGGTACTACATATATGTAACCGAGGGGTGCAAATCCACTTTAGGCACCTTAGGTATCACCAAGTGATGCACAGACTTCTGTGTACCATCAACTGATCCACAGACTTTCCGTATATCAAGGAATGATGCAAAAACCCTAACCCTAACCCTAACCAGTAACGCTAACCCTAACCCTAACCAGTAACGCTAACCCTAACCCTAACCAGTAACGCTAACCCTAACCAGTAACCCTAACCCTAACCCAGGGCTCGAATTAAGCGACGAGAAGGGCAAGGCAATTTTTTTAGGGCATGTGAGAAATCGCCTTGAATTTTCTCTAAAATAGAAAGGCACCAAGGCAACTCTCAATTATCATACAGGGGTATGCAAAACTAACCACATCCAAGCTGAAGGTTAGGATCAGCACCAGCCTTAAGAAGGGTGACAACTGCAGGCTGGTTGCCATGGGCAACAGCTACCGACAAAGCAGAGTGACCATGTGTGGCGCTAACAACATTTGGATCGGCTCCATACTGAAGCAGCACTTGCGCAACCTTCTGGGAATTCTGCATGTAGAGTGTGTACGGTATATCCATGATTAGTTTGCTTGCAAGCCATTCAGACGATGATATGATTCAGTCAGGTGATTCAATAACTCAATCACCCACCAGTCATTCATCATTTAATCATATCATTCAAACCGTATTCAGTCAAATCTTTTCAGTTACTCATTCTCGCACATTAATCTCTGACAACTACAATCCATGTTCCAATTTCATCGGAAGTAGTTATGACAAGAACATGTGAGACTCTCCTGAGAGACACGTGACATGCCAGGAATGTAACCAATCACACAACTAACCTCGCAATTGCCATCGCAGGCGCACGCAATCTGGAGAGGTGTGCAGGCAGCCAGTGCAAGATCCAAGCCTTCCTTCAGTCGACCGTCACCATAGTGGTCGGTGGTCCAGCCTCCCTCCTGCCCGTCTGAATGACCAGCTTCTTCGCTACTGCCTAAACCAACGGTGAGAAATGTTTCGTCCATATTTCGAGTGGTGGTCATGTGACAGTCTGGATGGGCGAGTGCGTCTAGCAGCATGCGCACAATCTCCACGGCAACGGAAGTTCTGAGTGCGCAAGCGATCTGCAGTGGTCTGAGCACTCCCGTCTGTGAAGGGAAACGAACATTAATAATTAATTAATTTTTTAACATTAATAACAATGTTAATGCCGCGGTCTCATAAAATTTGTGTGGAAAACGAAAATTTAATTGCAGAATTTTTCAGGAACTTGGACTTAATTTGAACACGAGAGCCTGACTAGCACACTTACCGGTGAATCGAGGATGGCGTTGGCATCTGCCCCAGCACTCAGCAGTCTCCTGACTGCAGCTACGTTCAGGCAGCACAGTGGTACAAACAGCGGGGGTAAGGGTGAACCAGACAGATCGCACGCCGCACCACTACTCAGCAGAAGGTCGACCATGTTGTCCAGTGCCCTCTGTCTGAAAACAAGAGAGCATTTGGCAGATTATTAAAGGGTTTATTAAAGATAAATGATTAAAGATTATAAAAGGGAAAGGATTTCTGTCTAGAATGGCTAAAGCTGTTTTAGAAATGATGTCATATGGACATGGTTCATTTCATTGAATTCTTTTTGAAAATGATTGCGAAAAAATCGTTGTGAGTGCTACCTACCTAGAAATATGAGCTGCTTTCCATTGAACTTTGTCTAAAGTGAAATCTCCTTGCTCCAAGCTGACGAGGCAGTTGTGACTAGTATATTCTGCCAGCTTGTTTACAATATCCTGAAAAATATAACACTTGTACATGCACCTGAAATACCTCTGCATGTCTAGAAGCAACTCTAATGATATTACCAACTACCACAGAGTTTAAATAAAAATGTTTGCATAGTAGCGAGAGTGACAATAAATACTTAGAGGGAAAAGGCACCAATCGATCTATTAGATGTCACTAAGTGGCAGTCTGAAAGGGTAACCTTACAGTTTTACTGGTCAATTTCTCATTTCCAAGAACAACACCATAATTCCTATTTCACATAATATATATTACCATGAGATATCATTACTGCACGAGTAACATAGAAGCTATTGTTTTATCGATACCCCTAAACTCTGACTGCACATTTTAATGCCCTTTCATGCATGTGCTCTCTGCGAATCAGTGAGCATGATGTTTCTCTGCCAAAAATAAAACATTGTTGAAGGAAATGTGGACTGAATGAGTAATTTATAGAGGGTGTTTCAGTGCCATACAACAAGTACTCCATCCTACGCCTTTAAAGGGATACTTGACCCTAGATTCCTTGCATATTTTCAGTTAAAATAGGGTTAAATTACACAAGATAACAAATTCCATTGCTCAATATTCATTAGAAATATTTTTTTGATGTTTTAAAACTAACTTGTTTACGACGGTGGCGCCACTACTTGCCCATCTGCTTTCAAAGTTGCGCATCGCAACTTTTCGGCTGCAGGCTACAGCCCGAGGGTGCACGTGTTTCTTATTTATTAATTTGAGAGGAGGATTGCAATATCTTATAAACAATTTTTAGCTTCAGTTATAATATGGACGAATTTTTCCTAATATAAAAATTGTTTGGTTGAATAGCATTTAAATTTTAAGTATGTAACATGCATAATAAATCAGAAAAAGCGCAACTTTTATAGGGTGGCAGCACAATCAGGGGGTGTCACATCAGCGGCCAAAAATAAAGATTCCGAAACTCACTGTTGTTTTATGACAAGTGTAAATGCGTGATTATAGAAATTTGTAGGTATATACTATTAGTTATGCACTTACTATCATATATACCCTAAACTTCTAGGGTGTACTATGCCTTTAAGCAGTGCGAACCCAACCATGAAGATAAAGCCTCATCCGCGTTGGACAAGCTAGAGGGCAGGGCGTTGCTGGTTTGCATGTTACCTCAGACAGTGATAGCTGTAGACTGCACACACTCCTCCACGACCGCGTGTCAATGCTCGACGCCGCCGCGACGTAATCAGTGGCGCCCCCACGCCTCACTCGCTCGTCCCCCGCCGCCTCATCACGACGCGTCCCTCCGCCAGCCGCTCGGATAGACGCGTCGCCGTCGTCGCAAACCGTCGCCTTCAGCTCCTCTCCCCCGCTCGACGCTTTCTCCGAGTCGCGGCGCAACCACGACGTCACGTCAACGTCGCGTCGCCGGCCCACCTCCGATTTCCGTCGCTCACGAGTCGTGCAGAGCTCGGCGATTCGATCTGCGGCTGCCAGCAGACGACTCAGCGATGGCGGACGATAGAGAAAGGTGTCGGCGGGGAACAGCAGCAGGTGGCAAAGCAGGAGCGGCGTGAGACCGGACGGCAAGGCGTGGTCGATGTATGCACCGTTGTCGAGGAGGCAGTGTGCAACGTCGCTGCGGCAATTCACCTGCAAGACGTGGATTCAGATTCTTTCATTTAGCACATAACTTAGTTACAATGTTGTACAATAGTTACAGCAGGTGTATGATAGGTATAACGTGAGAGTACAAATAAAAAAGAATAGTGAACTTACTAGCAAATGAGTGCTAAAAAACGGAGGAACGGCAAGAGAGTTTCAAGGAGGAGCTTGGGAAGGTCGCTTGCTATCCCACGATTCATGCTTGATGTCATTAGGTGAAGAATTAGGGGATGCGATTATGCTTAGGGGCAGAGTCAGGGTTAGGGGTAGAGTTAGGATTATGGGAAGGGTGAGGGTGATCATTGATTTTACGGTTACATCTGAGCTAGATGTAAGGATTACAGTTATGGTTAGGGTTAGGGTATTAGTTATGCTGCCAGGGTCTATGTCTCCCTGGGTACTGCCGAAACGTACCCTGGATACGGTCCGGTATACCGGAACGTACCCTGGTAACTATCTAATATATACCAGGGCCGATTCCAGGGCTGAGGCTAGACAGTATTTTTCCAGATTTAAAAGGCACATCACCCAAAAAAGGCACACCACCCCACAGTAAGGGCAAAATTTCGAAAGGCACTTTGAAATCTAGACCGTATTTCCCAATACGGCAAATACGGTCTGAATCCGCCCCTGTATATCTCGCCTACCGTACCTCGCCTACTCCACTAACGAGTCTAGGGAGTCGCCTACTCCCTAACCCTAACCCTAACCCTAACCATATCAGATAGTTACCAGGGTACGTTCCGGCAGTACCCAGAGAGACATAGACCCTATCAGCATTAGTTATGGTTGAGTTTTTCCCATTGCAGCCAGATAATATGTGTGCACACTGCATGAATTAACTTGACAACCACAGAGCGAAAGCATCAGACACTGCGTGGGTCACAGTCTGGAATGCTCTGGCAGATCGTGCAATGGATACAATGAGAGTACACTTTAAAGTATGGGTAAACCTGTGCACAGTTACTTATCGTTCTTACCAGAGCAACGAAAAGTGGCGAGAGACCATTTCTGTCAGTGAAGTTCACCGCTGACTGTTTCCTGAGCAGCATTCTAAAAACAGATGATGAATCGCCATCCCGGACCGCCTGCAAAACAAAGTTCCTACATGTGTGTACGTTTAAATCTCATAGGCACCACAACTAGACCTATTGTTGAATGGGACTACAACAAGAAATTTGTTAGCAACATTTTACAAACATTGTGTAAATCTTTTGTTACACCAGTGTGTATATATAATTTAATTTTGAATTTTAGATATAAAACAGAACAACACAGAGTTGTGTTCAGCCAACTAGTATTATTTTCAAAATCTCAAACACCAAAACAGACCAACCCCAGCTACCGACTCAATACAATCGACAGCCACGGCGGTCTCCCGAACAAAGTATTTATTCCCCCATTATCCCACACATATTGTCCCTATATGTCACCCTTAACTGCCTCCCTACATCTACACTCTACCGATTACCAACGTACTCGACGTTCTCAAATAAGTCTCTGCTACAAACATCAATACGCCCGCTCGTTAGTGTTGGAGATCGGTCCAAATTTCATGATCGATCATCGGTTTTACAAAACGACCGATGATCGATTAATCATCGATCATTTTAGATTGCGGCGACGATGCGGCGACGCCGCGTCATCGTCGACACAACCGGTGTATTGTGAAGGAATATTGACATTATTGTATGTGTAGCTAGTATTTAATGGTAAGTAAATTAAGGATACTGTTAGGGTTACGGGCGGGTAACACTCTAAAGGGCATTGCAACATAACTGCTCATCAAATTCAATAAAAAAATAAATATAAAAAAATAAAAAAGTTTGAGTTGTACTCGGTCATCCGATTTTCTACTCGATTAATCAACTCGGCAGCCCAATTGAGTAATGATCGACGAACTCGATTAATCGGAACACCACTACCGCTCGTCTACTGAATTATTACTAAATAAACAAGTCCCGGAAAACCACTGCACTGTGCTACAAACCACATTGAAATTCTGACTTAGTGCAAGTTCTGAAAACCACATCTGTAAAACATATACTACATTTAGTTGAAATTGGAACATTAAATAAGTTAATACAGTCAGTTAAGCAGTTATACAATTATTATGGGGTGCTCTCACATTGGTCATTATTTGAATTTCTATATGCTATAAAACAATAATATTTACTTATTATTATACTATAAATAGTCATACTATAACAATGTCAACAATACCTTGAACAAATCCATCTTCATTGGTGCAATGTGGCAATATAGGACGCTGCATGCAATTGTGCCTAAACAGTACATTTGTCAATCAGTAGTGATAAAACTACACCTCTTTATGTGTTTGATTAAACTGATTATTGATGACCAAAGACAGTAAATGTTAGTAAAATGATAAGAAATGAAATAATTCTTTTACTAGGGCTATTATATAGACTATACCTAGGATGCCCACCACGGATATCATGAAGTTTAACATAAAATTATGTCTACATAAACGTACTAAGATTGTTTGTTCATTGAAACAAACTTCTTTGGATTCTCTTTAATATGCTTGTTCTTTTTTTAAGTAATAACCTCGTTGGGCCTTGAAGTTAAAGGGATACTTTACTCTAAAATTTTAGAGTATATTATGATAGTAGATTTTTAAATAATAGCACATACCTATAAATATCTATAATTACGCATTCACGTTTGTCATAAAACAACACTGAATTTCGATATCTTCATTTTTGGGCGCTGACATGACACACGCGACCGTGCTGCCACCCTGAAAAGGTTGCGCATTTGCCAATTTATTTTGCATGTTACAGACCGAGGGCTAACCACAAAAGTGCAATTATATTTATACCTAAATGCTATTTTTAACCGAACGATATTCATTTTTGGACAAATTTATCCATATTATAACTGAAACTATATGTCGTTTATAAGATATTGCAATCCTTCTGCTCTTTAAATAAGAAACACCCTCGGTCTGTAGCCTGCAGTCGAAACGTTGCTTTGCGCAACTTTCCCAGTGGGTGCCAGTGGCGCCACCGTCGTTGTAAGCAAAGGTATAGCCGTCAGTTTTAAAACAAGTAAAAAAAATATTTCTAATTAATATTGAACCGTAAAACTTTTTATGAAGCGTAATTTTAGCCTATCTTAGCTGAAAATATGTGAAGAACCTAGAAAAATGTATCCATTAAAGGGATCGTTTACTCTAGGTTCTAGGGTTATTTTCAGTTAATTTAGGTTAAAATTACGCTACATAAAAAGTTTCATGGTTCAATCACCTTTAGAAATATTATTAAAAAATGTTTTAAAACTAACGACTACAATTTTATTACAACGACGGTGGCGCCACTCAAAGCGCACGATCTGATGAGTTGCGCAAAACCACTTTTCAGCCAAGGGCTACAGACCGAGGGTGTTTCTTATTTATTAATTTAAAAGCAAAAGAATTGTAATATCTTATAAAAACGACAT